ACCCACCTGTGCGTTGAGGCCACCTGCAACAACCACCACGTCCGAACGTTTGGCTTTCGAGAGGAGGTTAGACAGTTTATGGTAGAACTCGTCCTTCACTTCATCCGAACTTCAGTCAGTGGGTGCGTAAGCAGAAATTACAAAGAGAACGGTGAGTCTCACTATTCCTTTTAGTTCTCACCGTGCCGTTCAGCCTCGTAGCACAGAGGCGACTATCAACTGGGATCCAGTCTAGTGGTGAGTTTTCTGCCCTAGTGCTTAGTGCTATGCCTACACCTGCAAGACCATGAGAGCTAGCCATCGAATCTGCACAAACTCGAAGGGTGAATTTTCCGGATTCACCAGATTGGTCAGGAGAGGTCAGGTGAATAACTGCACTTGGGTCCTGTATGCGAGCCTCACAAACACAGCACACATCCATGCCCCGACTTGCTAGAGTCTTTGCTAACGAAGCCTGTTGACCAATTTGATGGAGGGTGCGGACATTGAAGGCTCCAATATGTAATTTGGAGCGTGGTTTAAGGAGACCAGGAGTGCTGTTCTGTGGACTCAGATTGTTGTCGAAGGCTACAGAGCTAGGAGAAATTGAAGATGATGTAGTATCGCTAGTTGAGAGACGTGAAGGAAGATTAGAGGGTAATGATGGAGGAGATGGATAGCAGTCAGAAGAAACTTGAGTGCTGACAGAGTTGTGAGGGCGGTTGACACTTCCCGGCTGCCCACACCGTGGAAGGCTATTTCTTCTTAAGGTACCTGAAACAGATTTGTGTGACCGCAGAGCCCATCGGACATCTGCTTGAGGCCTGTCACACCCAGCCTTTTGAGTATGATTATTTTGAACTTTTGTATTTTTGGGGCCGGATGGTCGAAAGGAAACGACAAATGAACCAACACCGCCGGCCCGGCAGACCGTGGGGCATGGTGGAGTGTGTTATTTTTGGGACCGACCTTTCTAACCCCCCCTTCCACTGAGAAGGCAGCATCAGCATGACACTGCTGGTCATCCAAGGAAAACACCTTACTGCTGTCACACCCCATCCAGCTAGCAGCAGTACGACTTCGCCCTCAGACCCCCATCATAGTGTAGCAATTTACACTATAACGGTAACTGCTTTTCGTCTAACCACTATCCAACAGACCTTTCTGGTATGGTAGGACCTCGAGGGAACAAGCGTTCCACCAGCATAGCTCGTTGGGTCATTGTGGTATGCAAGCCCGACCACCACGTCAAGGTAGCAGCTATCGGCTGGGGATTCAGTGCATAGTTCACAAACTTCAAAATTAAGAAGCTAAGTCTCAACTTATTTTACAAGAGTTTGAATAATTAATGGATAAAGAAAGTAACAGGTGTAGGTAGATAAATATCGATTCATGTTACAACATGCAGTTAACGAAGTTAGGTTGGGAAGCAAGTTGTAATAATTAGTAAATATTAGGTTGAATAAAAGTATATGAAATTATTAAACCGAGAAATTTGAATAAATGTATTCAAGCTTTTTCAGTGAGAGTAAAAGTCATTCGAAAATATTATTGCGCGTTCGGTGTAAAAATACACATATTCTGTGTTCTAAATACACTAATTCGTCATTGAATGATGTTTTATACCATGTACTTACAAACCACTGACTACTCTTCCATTCATGTGCTTAGTGAGAATGGACCGGAATAATTTACAAAGGTGCTCAAAAATCAAAGTGGAATTATTCGACGAATGAAACTGCAGAAAAAAACTTTATGAGTGCGGTTTAGGCTACAATAAATGTAATTTCAAACAAAATCAAAGGACAATGAGGGGATTTTTGTTTGTAGCTGCAAATTTAAGATAAAGCGAGTATTAGTGACGTAGTTTTCTATCAATAAGTACTGATATTAATTGCATAATAAGTAACAAAGTGTTAGTGTAGGCATTCAACGAGAACTACGAAAAAAATATGAAGCCTTAATTATACAATCAGTTGCTTTCTAAGGGTAGATAGTGATAACTATGACCTTCTAAGCCAACAAGAAGTCCATTCATCCACTCATTTTAAGAACTTTGCAGCCTATTCCCTACAACACTTAATCGTTTTAAATCAAATATGAAAAAGCTGTATACCACCCAATCACTTAAGGTAGACAAAATCGAAAGCGAGGCATATTTGTTTGCAGTTAACTTCTACAATCAATCAAGTATTCTCTGTCATAGTGGAATTAAATGAATTCAGTACGAAACCATGGAAAGAAAACGGAATTTACAAGCTCTTATTTTGTACATACCCATGGATACATGATTCTCACGATTAGAACTGAAGCATTTTATGAAAGAAAAATTCTCACTAAATGTGACGGATTGCTTGGTAATTTGTGAATTACCCGATAGGAAGCGGCCTACATGGATATCAACATTTCAAGTCATTAGTCTCTAGAGTAGAAGTCTTGGATTGCAATTTTTGTTTCATGTCACTGTGTGTTCAGAAAAAACCTTTTGCAACAATTTATCCTGCAGTTGACCAATCAAAATAAGATATTTAACTTTTGATCTAGTGGTTTTATAGGTTTAGTGAAGTATAGGGTTCTGAAGAAGAAAAGTCGTCATTCAAATCCAGTCAGAGTGTCTGGTCGCAGTATTATCGTTCGCGCATTTATTATTATTCACTCGGTGGCTTCATTACCTCTAAATGAAAGACTTAGCTTTTACGCTATGAACATTAATTAGCAGTATATCTAGATATATGTGGTGCCATAAGAGAGTAGACAGAAGGGTAACCTTACACCCACTAGTGAAATTTATTTAGCTGCTCACTAACCTTTCTATCATTTTAATTGATATATGGGTTGTAAGTAGTTACCTTAGCTAAGTCCTTTATACATACATGTGCCTAATTTAATTCAGTAATGTTCTGCTCTGGAATATATTCACATAGTCCGTCAACCAGTAGTTTGGTCTTTCAGTATTCCACTCAGTTGAGCTTTGCTAGTACTCATCATACGACTATATTAAGTCGACAGTGTATCAAGTCGTGAGCTAGTTCTGTTACTCTCATTCTGGTACATAGTTCGATGGACATCATCACAGTGTTAATAAGTCAGGACTGAGGTGACAGCAGCTGGTTTTACTGACAGGTATCCTTCAATTACTAAAAACGAAATCATGAAATACTCCAGCAGTAATCAAAGCAGTCAAGAAAACTGTTAAAAGTTAGCTTGAAAAAAGAGGAAGAATGTCACTATCAATGTAGACCACAATCCAAGTAAGGCAAAAATGTTTGAGGTAAGAGATATAAATAGAAATATTTGTGATCAATTTCTGCTATGCTAAAGCATTTTTTAAATACTGGTAAAGCTGTTGTACTACTGTAGAGATTGAAAATACCAATGTACTCCATCATATATGGATGCATGAACCGAATTATGACCCATATACTTACTGTGTGATAAATAACAACACTATGATTATTACGCAGGCCTATTCAACGTCTTTCTTGTTGATACTGATTGATTGACCCAAATCCTGACAGATGAGTCCGGCACAAACTTGTGACCGGCTACGAATAATACCAATATCACAAGATAGGTTATGATTTTAAAAGATTCGGATGTTACTTCAATGATAACAAATGACTGCATATTCAACAATATTGTTCAATGTTTTATCTGCACGTTTGCTGTGAAACCTGAAGGTCCTGAGTTCGGTCCGTAGCAAGGTCGTGGGTACGTACTGCTGAGGAGTCCCACACCGGGATGAAACAGCTGCAAGTGTTTACAAGTTTTCAATGGTTTCCCAACTGATTTCAGTTCATGATGAAAACTACTTCTAATAAGGGATTAAATTATTTTTCTATTATTGAAGAATTAGAAACAATTTCAAAACCACATAAGACATTTCAAGAGTACATTGATTAGTCGCTGGAGGGTTACCGATGTCATGACGAGTGAATTCTATCGATCATTTTGTAATATGGCTTACCAGGTTAGGAGACTCAACATTACATTATACTTTGATTGACATCAGACGATTGGAGATAGAGCTTCCTGAAGAATGTCTGCAACCATCACATACGTTTCAAGAGTGTTATTATGACTTATAAGTGATTTTGGAAAAGGTGGGACTGAGAAGAGTTTGACACAACTTCATATAAGACATACAAAATTTTTAGATCCATAAGCAATTCAGTACAAAAATATAAATTTTCGAAAAACAAAGCCACAAGAGCTTAATAGGTGACGAAGTAGCCAAAAGATGTATACTTTACTACTTGATTGCTTGGTGAGCAAGATACTTTTATGATGAGGAAAGGTTCATTTCATGACTTATTATCTAACAATATTTACAACAATAATGATCCAAAAATAAATTTGTTTTCCCAAATTCAATGATGTTGTTTACCTTTATAAATGCTCACAGAGTTCCATGCATCAAACAAAGATCATGAGTCTCCATTTCCTATAGAAATCAATGACACAGATGTCATAGTGACTACACCGGAAGTGCTGGGTGACAATAACACTCCATTCAATGAATCTCATTGGTTAAAACATTTTATTTCATGGTTACTTCTAAACTCTAGGTTCACGGTCTTGGTTACAATGTGATTTATTGATTGTTCGTTGGTAGTCAACTTATATTCCTAGAACTGAGCTTTCTTCATAAAATAAGGCATATCAGTAAACTTGCGATCGAGACAAGAATAGATTCAAAAGAGATTTATCAAGTGCATCTAACCAAATAACATTCAACATAACACCTTGAAAACAAAAGCCAGGTCATATAACATTATTCTGGAAGAATTGTATAACATGAGACCGTAAATAGGACAGGAATTAATGTAGTAATGGTGAATCACAAGGAAAAAGTCAAACTGAATCACACACACACACACACACATAGAGTACACTTTCGAGAGTTCTTGCATAGTAAAAATTGTAACCCAACAGTAAAACTAGAAATGTATTCGGTGTATATAAACTCACAGTGAAAATAAATGGGGATCACAAAAAAGTTATAATACACTATAACTTACTTTGAGGAGTAAAGAAATCAGCATTACTCACAGATCGAGCAGAATAACCAGAATACCAAGGAATTCGAATTCCTAGCTGTGAACTCAACAAACTACGACTTTCATCTTGTTCCTTTAAGCATACCGTCACTATACGGAAGCAATAATACCAATTGAAATGATAATATTATACTACTAAAATATAACATAAGAGAAGTAAGCACAATATAGTAATATACACAACTTATTCTTTTGTTACTCATTATTACACTAGGACACTTAACAGCACAGAAGAGGATCACCATTATAATTAAATAAGAAATGTACATAAAATGGTAACTGAGACGATATTTTCGTTCCACAAATATTCACTGTGGGACTACACTTGTTAGAAGAAAGCAATGTGTTTAATCACTGTAGGTGAAACCATACAAAACTGGAATATATACTTTTCTAATAACAATAACTAAGGTCTCTGTTGCTACATAACTTCACTACAGCACAGTCTCTATCGTAAGATAAAAACAACATTGATTCTGATTCAAGCGACTCAAGAAAATTCGCACGTTTCTTGTATTTTTGCTTAAACAACAATAGTATAAAGTGATGAGCACTTAAAAGTGAATCTGAATTATGCATCGATCTCTGTATACTTTTGTATTCAAAACCAATAAAACTGTCATAAATTTGGTTCTCAAAAATCAAAAACAAACATCTGAGGCAAATAAAAAGACTGTAGTAAGCAGCCTACTTTATGAATGAAAACAAAATAAACTAATCAATGGTTGTAAAGTCAATATCACCAGCTTCTGCTTGGTGAATACACTAAAACTATGTGGGTAGTTGTCTGAGTGCTGGTGGTGTGAGTGGTGAAATTTCCAACCGCATATCAAAAGTCAGGGTGGCTTACGTCAATTCTGTTCTACGTCTGAGAAACTTGGCCTTCCCGAGCTGAGGATGTACGATCATCGTTGTCTGCGTAGGACTGCTCGCATCCGGTGGCGAAACCATGTAATTCTGAGATACGATAGCGTGTGTTTGGGTGTGATAGAGATCGTCGTTCAATAAGTGAAGTTATCTGGAAACATCACTTTCGATGGTTTGGACATGTGTTACGCATATCGTCCTAACGGCTTCCACACTGTTCATCATTTGCTAACCCTGGGACTGGATGGTAGAAGCAGAGGAGTGGTCAGTGTATGATGTGGAGCCGTGGGATGAAAGATAGTTGTATCGGGTTAGCATCTGTTGGGGCATCACGACTTCCTGGATGGGGTCCGAGAGATCACGCAACTCAGCGGCTTGAGACGTTATCAGATATGGCTCAGGATCGAAACCAGTGGAGCTCACACTGTAGCTTCCTCTTATCTGTTGCTACTGAAAAGTAATGAATGTTTTGTTTTGAATGTATCTCACTAGATTCCCCTTCTAATCATTCTATTCTCCTGTTTTATTTTTATCCACTTCCCTTCGCTTTATGTCTTCATAATGTTGTTATATTACTCTCTGTGGCGCATTTCTTGGTGCCTTTACTGTACCATGTTTATGTTATAATAATAATAATTATTATTATGAACGTGGAACGTATTAAACTCGAGAAGGTTATTGAACGGGTGAACCAAATCAACAAACAGCTTTGGCTGGTAAAACAATTTATATATCCTGGAATTTTGATAGTTCTGTGAACTGCCTGTTATTTCACACTTTCTATTTCCTCGTCTAACTGTCTGTATTTGTAAAGTGGAAAAACTGAGGAAGCAGTAAAGCTACAGCGAAATGGCTACCAAAATGATTACATGTGCTGAAAAATTGAAAGATATCTTCTATCAGTTACCAATTCAGTGTGGAACAATTTAATTGCAACTGAGTGGGACTGTGAAGCAGAATTTTATTCACTGCAATAACAAGCAGCAGCATACAGTTCTTTTACGAATCTGTTTCTGTTAAAATTTTCAAGAAATTGGTCAGAAACACAAAGAAATTTTGATGAGTTTAGCAATTACTTAGCACAAGATCTAAAAATGGTGGTACTGAGAAATAAAAATCCATGACCAAATATAAAAAGTCTGAGAAACACCAAACTATTATCATAAAAGCAGATCTAAACTTCTGTAGAAGTAGCTAAAAATGACTGTTACTTAAGAAACATTAAAGAACTTGACAGAGTGAATAAGCAACTGTTGTTAACCGTTGAATAGTAAATAAGTATTGAAAAGTAGTTCTAGTACTAGTAGTTTGGCGATTAATTTGAAGATTTGCATAATACAAACAGAATTTTTAGTTACTTTAAAGAAGAACTATGTAGACACGAAAATGTGTCATAAGATATTACAGAAAAGAGGATGGTGTACAGACACTTTAGGCTTTCACCTCGGAATCGTTAAGACTTCAATAATATACATTAGATTTCATCTTAAATCCTTTAAAACACTATATTATGTTATGCATACTGCAAAAATAAATATTCTGGGACTATACAATTACTATCCGTCAAATTTTGCAAGACAAGGGCAATGAATTATCTATACTTATCTCCAATGAGTTATATGAGATACATTGGTATTAGACAATCCACTTCATTATTCACTCTATATATCTGGCTCTACGGTAACAGATGAACCTATATGTACCCGTAAAAGTGATAAACAGTTTTCTTTTAACAACTACTTAGCATCTATTAAGAAGTGAATACATAGAAACAAACTTTTATTTGGAAACCTTACTCCATGAGACAGCAAAGCCATCAGAATGTTACGAACTACAATGAACTAAATCTTGGCCTAAAAAAGACGATGGAGCATATTATGCTGCAGAAGATTTTTCTACGTATATTAAACAACCTTTTTACACTACGTGAAAGTAATTTTCTAACGCACTGAAGAAGAGGAAATCCCATTAGGCTAATTCAAAGTCAGAGTGATGTCAGACTGCAAAAGTGAGACTGTCTTTCAGTTCATGTAGTTAAGTTTTTTTAACTTCTCGAATGTTCATCTTGATCTGATAGAGAGAGAAACATAATTTCTTGGCACCAATTTCTGAAATCTTTATGTTACTTCAAATTGGATTTGTTTGACAGAGTAAACAGTCGTATTTACCAGCAAGCTGTTCCCGGTACAATCCATTGTTCGACACGGTTTCTAACAGAATGCATTAGGCTGAAAGAAATGAGAATCTAAGTACTATAGTTTAGTGATGTAACTTTCAGTATGATTGTAACAAAATAGTGTAAGGAAGTTCTAAGTAGATCAATATATCTAACGAGATGATGTTCATTAGTCTACAGTTACCCAATATTAAGTTGAAGGTGATGAATAAATATTGTGTAATTTGTTTTCTTCAGTGGCCGATTATCAGTTTACCTACGTCACTGAAACTACGTTGGGAACACGAGTAAGCAAGTTCACCATCATATTTCTCAATACCGCCACTTACGATGAAGTAAATAGATCAGACGGAAGAAAAATGCCGTACTTATATGCCTGAAAGACATTCAGCATCAGTTTAATTTCAATGCAGCTTCAAAGGTTATTTGTAGTACTTCATCTACTCTAAGGTATGACTTGAGAATTCATCTTTGAAACAAAACAAAAGTTACAATATTTCACATGAAAAACCAATGCATATGTTGAAATGCTTGGATCATCGCATGAGCTATCTTGTTCACCAACATAGTCACGTAATAATGACTTCTCTCATTTGATTAAAGTAAATCTGTTTCTTACATAATTAATCACTGAATGAAGCCATTGAGCTTTATTTAAGTTACTTTGCTAAGTATCCGCTAAAAGAACCTGATTTCAAATTTTACTCCACATGATTACTATATTTCTAAATCGCTTCATGAGAATAGTGCAACTCACTATGGTACAGGTGTTTATATTCCAGACTATGCGAAATACTTACGTGTAAGATCTTATGATACTTGTTATTCAAGCCGAATTACATATAAAGGGGTTGGAAATAAAGAGGCATTGGTTGAAAGTTAGGTGCTTGAGACGACAATTCACACTCCCACCTATAAATCTGTTAATTAGTCATTACTAAATAACCAACTATCACCAGTAATTTACAATAAATCATTCTATAAATACACAAGGAAGGATTTTTACCGATTAGAAAATCTCATTATTACCCATTCCTCACAAAGCTGACTAATCTATAGTTCTACACTAACAATCACAAAAATCGATTATAGCATTCAGAAAAAACAACGATTTAACTTGTTTCAACTCATCAACTACCTACCAAAAGATGAGTATACTACGCAGCAGTCTGTTTTCTCCTATTATATGACTGTGAAGGATGATTGTTTTAAGTAAAAGATGTGGGAAGATTACGGGTTCCTGAACACAGGTGTATTCGCAACACTGTCTACGTATAGTGGAGTCCGCGTTTGAGCAATATAGAGGTTAGAAGGAATGCGAGAAAGTCTGTGAGATTATGAACATTTATCGACTGAGGACACCTGGACGTGTTGCTCATGTCAAGCCGCCGCCGCCTACCTCGATGTGTAATGTCAGTCGAAGTAGAATTGAGTCGGAAAAGAATTTACGGTGACCAGGCGAGTATATGAAGCCCCTGACTATTAGGAAGCGAAGACTGCCTGGCTGAAACCCTTGAGAAGATAGGAATCAGTAATTGAGAACTCTTGGTGAGACGTTTGAAAATCGGTCGCAATGTTGCCGATGTATTCATTCTCCGGTGTATACTAAAGTTGGGTTATTTTCACTACCATTCATTTTCATACCTGTTCAACTCCTATGCACCTTTGTCGACTTTGATATTTCTCTTCTGATCCCCTTTTTCTTTGCATGGTGCTATGAAGTGTACCAACTTGAGCCAATGCACTTCTGTCCAGGTTTGTTTGTTGATTCTATCCTAAGCGATTACACAACTGCAAACAATTAAATAAATTCTCTTTAAATATAGTCAGAAGTTTGAAAACACCGCGTATATTAATCAAGAACTAGAATAACTAGTTTCAGTTTATCGGTTACCTATCTAACTTATAACCTAGCCTGGTTAACTAGTTCACCAGTTACTAGTCTGTCCTAAGCCCGGATAAACAGGAAAGGTTGGGCAAAAGGCTAGCAACCCTAACTCGTAAAACCGACCCAATCGCTAAACAAACTTCAAAGCACAAACAAAATATAAAACATAAAAATAAACTCATTCCTCACTGGAATCGGAAAGACGAAATGACGCCGGTCGGTGAAAGCCTTCGGGAAGCCAATTGGCCGATGTGTCTTCTCTTCTATCGATGAAAGCAAAAGTAAGAATGGGGACATGGAATGTCAGCACCATGTACGAACCTAGCAGGGCTGCCCCAGATTGCGAAAGAGATGAGGAGGCATGGATGGAATGGAAGTGCTAGGAATCTGCAAAAGCAGATGGAATGGAAGTGGACTCTCAAAACTGTCAACTGAAGAGTCAATTATATACTCGAACATTGTCACCCAAACGACAACCATGAACACACCGAGTTGTGGAGTGGCTATCATGATGTCCCACTCACAAGAGCATCGAAGGCTCTCTCTCACGCAGTGGGAACCAATCTCCTTCATCCCAGGATCATGACAGCAAGGTTCTAATCAAAAGGAAGGAAAGTCACAATCATACAATGCTACACTGTGCACCTGCAAATAATGCTGATGAAGAGAAGAAGGAGGAATTCCACAGACAACTGCAATCAGTACAGGATAAGACACCACTCCAGTTGGCAACATCAAAACTCATTCTAATGGGTGGGGTGACATGAATGCCAAACTCGGAGCAGACAACACACGAAGAGAACTCATCATGGGTAGAGAAGCACTCGGTGAAGTGATGAATGAGAATGGGGAACTGTTTGCAGACTTCTGTGCATTCAACGATTTGGTGATTGGATGCGAGGCAGTGTATGCAAACACAAGGATATTCATACGGCAGCGACATGGATTTGATTTCACCAGATGGATATACTACACTAAAAATCGGATCGACTTCATCTCAATCTGAGGAAAGTGGAGATGCAGCTTACTGGACATAAGATGAAGAAGGGGAGCATATTGTAGGTTCAGACAAATCACTATCTGGTGTAAGGAACCTTCAAAATCAAGTTGAAAGCCTTGAAAGAAGTTGGTGATAGACCAGAGTTCAAGCTCAACACTCAGAACAGAAACCGAAGGACAAAACTGCAAAGGACATCTTCACGTCAGTCAGGCATCATAATAAAATGCGGGACATTGAGCAACATCTCTGAAGGATCGGGTGTAGAAGAACAGTGGAACTCTTTGAAAGAGATGTTGAAAGAAACCTGCATAACCATGTTAGGAAGGAAGAGGAAACAAGACAAGGAATGGATGTCGACGGACACATAGAAGCTGATAGAGCGGGGAGAGGAAGATGATGGTGGTGAAGCAGATGAGCCAGTGCAGTTTAAGGATTCACAACGAAAAGGGGAACTGAACACAACCTACAAAACTCTAAAATGGACAAAGAAGTGAAGAAGAGTGCATGCAAAGACAAAAGACACTTCTACGACACACTTGAAAATGAAATAGAAAAGGCTACTGATAAGAGAGACCTGACAACATTATATCAAATAACAAAGTTACTGCTATCCGGGAAGAGATCAACTCAGACGAAACAAATGAAAGATAGTGAAGGAAACCTAGTTACCAAAGAGGAGAAACAAAGGAAATAATAGGCTGACCACTTCAGAAAACTCTTGAATCGACCACCATCATCAACTGCAACTCATCCAGAAATACCACCAGCAGCCCAGCCATAGAACTATCAGTGAACCCGAGCCCTCCGACAGAATCAGGAGTCCTGAACCCCATAAAGTTGCTGAAACACAGGAAAGCAGCAGGACCCCATGGAATTCCACCAGAAGCACTGAAAACAGACGCAAAGACAACAGCGGACATACTTACATTACTATTGCAGAAGATTTTGGAAGGAAGGAAAGGTACCCGCAGATTGGAAGAAGGGCTACCTTGTCAAACTCCCGAAGAAGGGTGACCTAGGTGTTTGCAAGAACTGGCGCGGAATCATGCTCCACTCCCGTCCACCTCAAGCAAAATATTAAGCCGCATCATCCTGGAGAGACTAAAGGATGCGCCGGATTCGAAATTACAACCACCACAGGCTGGCTAGCTTCAGGAATAACAAATCATGTAGGGATCAAATTGCAACGCTGCGCTACGCATCATCATAGAACAGAGTATAGAGTGGCAGTCAACTCAACTCTACCTCAACTTCATCGACTTTGAAAAGGCCTTGCTTCGACAGCGTCGACCGAGAAGTAATTTGGTAACTGCTTCAACACTACGGTTTTAGTGCCATAAACCTTTATCAAGCTCATTCAACAGCTATGTGCTATATGAGGATGCTACATGCCAAGTGATTCACGATGGAAAGTTAAGTGACGCCTTTGAAGTGTAGATAGGAGTAAGACAAGGTTGCCACTTACTATCACCGACGATCTTCCTGATTGTGATCGACTGGATTATGCAACAAACCGTGACGAGTGAGAAGATGGGCATACGCTGTTTGACCGATGAAAAGACTGTAGAAGATTTGGATTTCGCCCCGATGATGATTTATGTCTCATGTCTTGTCACACAAACTCGAAGATCTACACGCGAAAACTAACAAGTTGACAAAAGAGGCAGTGAAGACGGGACTTGCTTCAGGTGAACGTAGAGAAGACGAAGGCAATGAAGATACCCAACCAACAACAACAGCAAACTACAATCACCATCAACAGGAGAAACCTAAAGGAAGTAATCTCTTTCACTTACCTACCTAGGTAGCATCGCTTCAACTACAGGTGGCACAGGCACACATGAGAACGTCAAAGACAGGATCGGGAAAAGAAGACAGCCCTTCATTAACATGAAATCAGTGTGGAGATCTACTACACTGCATTCCACTCAGCATGAAGAACTAGATCCAGATTTTCAAGACTAATGTCAAGTCAGTGCTTCTATGTGATGGTTGAGAGACTTGGCGCGTTACGAAAAGGATTTGCAACAGACTACAGACATACATCAACAGCTGTCGACCCTTGCTCGATAGTGGTCAGATGGCCAGAATAATAAGAATAAGCAACAAGGAACTCTGGCTGTCTAGCAACCAATCAACCAAGAACCCATCACCCAACAAATATAAAGCAAACATAAAAACTTACCACGATGAGCAGCTTTTTCTTGTGGAATGACACGATAAATTAGGAAGCCGGTTTCAACCCAAGAGATGATCAATGCCGCAATTAAAACAGTATAACCTAAACCCTGATAACTTGAATTCTTCTGATGAAACTGGAATATGAAAACAAGAAAATAAAAAGAGTATGTCAAAGTTAATCTGTTAATAACAAGGCATTAATGCACACTGTTTTACAGAACTTGATGAAAATCTTCAATCACAAATAAATGAATATTTAACAGGTTTATGAACCGATACTGAGATTGAGAGAAGTTGTGTTAGGTTACAACCAATCGGTTTGTCACAACTCTATCACTAAACATTTTTAAAAAGTTTTCTTTTCGTCATACACAAACGGAAGAAGCTTCTCAAATTAATAGGTTTCTATAGAGTTGTAGCCCAAAAGGTGAACATTTTGAACGCCATTCTGATTCCTTCAGTAGTGACAATACACGTATTACAAATTCACTTAACGTGTTTTGTGAGTTGTCATATTGAGTAATCACTTATTGTCTTTTAATAACTTTTCCTTTCCGATCCTTATAATATTTCATGTGTTTGTGTACATGATAAGTTGTTCTGCACTTTCTTGGTGAGCACGAAGTTTACATCTAATACTGCAATGATTAAGTACTTAGTAGATCTGTGAGTAATTATAAACTGAACAATAAGAAACGGATCAAAAAGACAGTTTAAGAAATCCAATAGAATATTTATTTAGGATTTTGTAATAATTCTAGTATCTTAAGCATATAGCAGTTCTGAAACTTGTCACCGAGTATACTAAGACTTGGTCAACACAACAAAAGTATCTTTTAATGATTAATTACTGTGCAAATCAATCAATTAACTTTCATTAATGACTTGAATTCATTAGTTATACGCATATGAAAATCTGTTAAGTTAGTTTATACTGGTTTTCATTTACACACATTTACGTTTTGAGGTACATACTGTGAATGTGTTGACCACTTCATTCACTTGGAGAGATGCATTAGCCCGAACAGGTTGGTTGCTGACGAAATCTCAGCTGGGATACACAAAGTCAGTTTGGCATTTTCCAACTTGCATCACCTGTGGTGCCGGTGAGATATCATATCCGACGAAGGACGAGTTTGCTACACTGCAGTCTGTTCTGTCCCACTATACGACTGTGAAACACGACCGTTAAAAGTAGAAGATATGAAGCGGTTATAGGTTTTCGACCACGTGTCTTTGAAGCATTGCAAGCGTATAGAAGAATCATTGTGAAAGCAATTTCGAGGTCATGTGGACGTTACTAGGTAAGGCAAGCAAGTCAGTCGATGAGGCTGCGAACCTTCATTGACTGAGATGACATAGACATGTACTGCGCATGCCAATCTACCACCTACCTCGACGTGCAGTGATAGGAAAAGTTGGATTAAGTTGAAAGAAGGCTTAGGGTAGCTAGACCAAGACATGGCAACAGTGCATGAAGCCTCTGACTGTTGGTCTCACCCGTGTAATGCGATGTAAATTATATTGCTGGGGTCTCCGAGACGATAGGAATCAGTGGTTAAAGACTCTTGGTGATATGGCTGAAAATCGGCCACTGCTTCAAAAGCCTGAACATTTTCAGCAACCTTCACTTTTAAATTTGTCCTACTTATTATCATTATTATTTTTCCCTTGAGTTCCTAATGGAACATAGGGCTTCAGCAGCACGCTTCCATTGCACTGTCTTCTCTGAAGTCTTTCGAACCTGGCGCCACGACTACCCACAAGCTTTCATTTCTTCCTTACATGATCTCCTCCATGTCACCCTCACCTTGGACGCCCAACTCGTCGTTTCACCTTTGGGTTCCACTCGAGGGTCTGATGCGTGATGTCCCCAGTCGGCCTTCTCAGTTTATGCCCAATCAATTTCCACTTTCTTCTAAATATTTGTTGGGTGATGGATTCTTGGTTGTTTCGTTCGTGGAGTTCCTTGTTGCTTATTCTTTGTGGCCATCTGATCTTCAGTATCCAGTGAGCGTAGGCAGCTGTTGATGAATGTCTGTAGTTTGTTGGAAGTGCTTTCGTGACACGCCTACTATCTACTGTGATTTCAGTCTTATTCTGTCCACTTATTCTTTGTTTACTACTGTGAAATGTGGCAACTTGAGCCAATGCACTTCTGCTTGATGTTCTACGTTGATTTAGTCTGTCGATAGAATGTGAACTAATAACTATCTATTTGAATATCACTGAATGTGGAAGTTTTGGTGGATAAAAAAAGTGTAAATACAAGAACTAAATGAATTCCTAAACACACAAAATGAACGACCTAGAAGACGTTTATTGATATAACAATATGCATGTTTTTACTTTCATGCGTATTGAACAGGTTATGGCTTATGCCTGTAGGGTTTCGAAGATTCACCATTCTTCGAATGAGTCCGACTAAGTAATTCAATGCAGAATTGTGTAGTAGGTATGCTTCCGTTCAGATAGTGGATGACAATACTTAATTGCTCAAATTCAGATAGCTGAATCGAATTCGAACGTGTAACCGCATAATTATGAAAACCAATAATGGATGCATCGATCGGATCTTCACGATTTGTCAGATCATGGAACATAGACGTACTTGTGTAGTTGCTGAAGCTTGTCGCATTTCTTCATCTGAAAGCGGTACTTGACTTCAACGATCAATACGTCTTTTGATGATCTCTGCTTCTGAAAAACATCCCAGTCAAATCCTATACTCAAACACTATATGATTATTTCAGAGAACATAAAGTGATATTTTGTGAGATATCTACAATAAGTGGTGACCGTCAGAGATATCCACTTTTGCCATTTTTATTGAACTTTAACCATAGATCTGCTTATAAAATCACCTTTCCTTTTTCATTTTACTTCATGAAAACTGATCTTTTTAGAAGATATTTCTTAATCGATAGAGAGTACATGAACCATATATTCCCGTAAACTGTTGATACAAACAAGATATATCTTTCTCAACACCAACTAATTATCTGGAAATATCTGACGCGTTTACCGCACCTGAAATGCGAATGGTTGCCTAAGGATTGGTATGCACCAAAGTAGTTTCCTACAAAGAGGAAAGCATAGTAGCTGAACTCATTCGTCGCTTCGTGTACCTAAGAAGTCACATAACCTATGAGGCTCATCTGGTAGAGTCCCAAACCAGTAACTCAGAGGCCTCTGGTTACATATACATAGTATTTGGCAAAAAAAGAAGAGAAACTTACATTGAAAAGGAAACATTTGACGATAAGAACCAAACTTGTCAAGCCAGTTGAGCCCTGTAATTACAAGAATGTTAATAACACTAAGATGTTTCATACGAAAAGATATGAAAACAGCTAAAAATATATACTTATCAATGTGATTAGGTACTAGAAAGAAAATGAAGTATTTTTGAAAAAACCGATCATCATTCCAATACATTATGAACAGTCTGATAATCAAGACTATATCAGTCGGATCGATCGATACATCTGGATTGATAATATGACAATCTGAGGCAGTTCTGATTAATAGGTTGGATACAGGTAGGATTCGAAACAACAGTTTCAAAACACCAACTTGGTGCCCAGACAATCGTATTAAATTTTCCAACGAACAAAACAGGCCAGTAAACATAAGTACACATTTGAATAGGGCAAGAAGTGATGGAATGAACATTCTATCTATCTTCTCTAAAATGTTCATTCTGATGGTGTTGTGTTATCTGAGCTGGATGATTGAATTGTGAATCTTTCATTATTATTCTAGACATCATCAGAATAAACTTCAGAAAGAAATGAGCTTTAGGGCTTTTTTCCACATGTAGCTTGTCCAGATGACCTTGTGTGACTGGTTGTTTCTGCCAAAGTCTTGTTCATTGTTTCCATGTTTATTTCCACTGATTGTCCTGCTAACTTGAACTTTGACATTCCGGTGTTCTTTATTGATTGATAAATTGGGTAAATGTCAATATGTCTCTTGATCGCCGACTGACTTGAACATTATATCGGACAGAGTGGTCGCCCTCTTCGTATTCGTCTACACGAACATCAACTAGCGGTGAAGCGTCGTGATATATCTTCGCTCATATTAATGCATATGGATAACTGTTGACATGAATTTAACTGAGAAAATGTAGAAATTCTGGATAGAAGAAATACAAAGAATGCCAGGGAACTTTTCTAGAAGCCTGGCCTTCAGGTCAGTCAACGATCAACAGACATACTGACTTTGACCCAACCTTTCAACCAATAAAAAAACTACAAGAAGGTCAAAGTTCAGGTCAGGAAGACAACTAATGTAAATAGATATTTAGACAATAACAAGACTAGCAGAAACAACCAATCACCCGCAAGGCCATCAAAATAAGCTACTAAGTCACGTGTGGAAAAGGCCCTAAAGCTCATTTCTTCCTGGAGTTTGTGATGATATTGTCTAGAAAGACAATAAAAGCTTCCTGACTAAATCATCCAGCTCAAAGAACATAACATCATTAAAATCATCCTCCTGAGCTTCAAATATTCTCCATCATCGCAATGTACATTCGATCACTGCATAAATAGTTAACCTTTAAGTAGCCTTCATCAATTTTCTTCGATTTTGGTCAGCCTACATCTTTGTTATCTACCATCTTCGTCAAAACCCTCTTGTCGACTAAGAAAAGTATGTAGTATGCCTTGCTTATTAATCACAAGCATATTCTCTAGGTTGTAAAGCAGCTGAGAATCCACAAAATACGTGCACGCCAATTGTCCTACTTTTGTTTCTCTTGCTCTATTCAAATTTGTGAGAGCGAAGAGTGGTAGGTAACCGTTGTTATGTCATTAAATATGCTGTTTATAAGTTTTTCCTTTCAGGTGAAATCTATATAAGTATAATATCTAGTTCTGAGTTGATCCAGACATGCATTTAGGATGAAAACCTGTTGGTTAATGGATGAAATGTCCCGTATGTCAAATATATAAGTAGTTTGCTCAACTCTCTGACTACACTAGTAAACTGTGTACATACATTGAATCCTGGGAACTGTTAACCGGCTAACAGTACCACTGTATTCGGTTATTATTTATCACCCTCATAGCAAACTGACGGCCTCCTTGAATTTCGGACTATCAAAAACTTTCCATCGAATATATGACATCAAATTACTGTTTCTGGAGTTTTGTTTCAATTATTTAAACATATCCTCACACCGTACTCACGCGTATTTTAAACTTTTTTCAGTCTATAGTGCTTGACAAGTGTACAGTAAAATTAAAAGACACTACGATGGATGAAAATTGACTCATGAGGAGGTAATTATACATCATATAACTGTTCCTGAAGTAGTTAGGTAGAACTGCAAACACTCGTACTTCTTACATGGATTCTATCATCGAAATTACGTACATTTATCTAGTCAATCCTCTGTAACAATGCTCCTACAGGCTAGATTAAGAATGTGACAACAGATGATCACTGCATATTCCTATTCATAATACTATTGTGATTACATACTGAGAATTCTATACTGTAACGAAAATGTTGTCTGAAATAAAGTGGTCATTATTACTATTATTATATCTCCAGCATATCACTGCACGTTATCATGGATAAAACTGTCACTTTACTCATTTTAAATCTAAAGCCAGTGTGAATTTGTCTGTCAGGTATAGTACCTTTGTTATTTCTTGTACAACGTAAATGAAAAAGGAAATACTTTCCTCAATAACACTAAGCATTAGTTTAACACTAATGTGATACAAATTTCAGATACCTCAGAGTAGTCAACAAACCAACATAATATCAAATAAACAACAATTGAATCCCAGTATACGGAATACTAGGTCGCTTATTTGTAAATGCAACTAGATTTTGATACAGACAGAAAAGCTGACAATAATTAAGAACACTCATTCGTAATGAGTTACATATACTTGACCGATAATCTTCCTTTTATGTTGGTGACTGAAATATTCTTATGTCGACTCACAAATTATACTGATGGGTGGCATTCGAATTGTCTATATTCTTGGTTATCATTTACCTGAGATTTAATCGATATGACGACTACCATTGTATAAGACGTGAATTTTGATCCACAATATCACTTCTATTGATTTTTTTTGCAAAGATTTTAATGTGCAACCGGTATACAGTTCAATTCATGTGTTATAGGAATAAGTTCAGATGAGAAGTGATAATGAGAACGATCAAGACCAGACAGATAAAACCAACGTAGAGCTTTGCATACAAGTTCATTGGTTGCCACACTTCACAGTAATATACAAAAGACAAGTGGATATAAAAATACTGTTAGCACAGTAGACAAAGATGTATGGCAGGAGAAGGAATCTGGAAATCAAGATTAGTGAAAACAATCAAGCGTTGTAAAAGATCAAAGAATGAATAGATCTGAGCCATTATGACCGACTTCCAGTCACGTACCCAAGACTCGTCAACCACTGATTCCTATTGTTTCGGAGACCCCAACCATTTAGTCTAAATCTCTACACAGCGCTGGGACCAACAGTCAGAGACTTCACCGACTGGTGCTAAGTCTTGATCTAGCCACACTGCCCCTTCTTCGAACTTAATTCAACTTCCCCTAGAATTGTACGTTGAGGTATGAGGTGGTTCGGCATGCGTGGCACCCGTTCAAGCCAACTCAGTCGCTGATGGTTCACAATGAAGGGAAACAAATATAAAAACAAACAAGAAGATTTTGATAGCTCATTACTCGACAATAATTCGCTTTTAGTTTATTATCATTTGTTGATAGAAAACCTAAAGAAATGTGTTATATTTGACTACTAAGTTTAGAAAAACTGTCGAAAATGAAAAAGACAGCTCCATAAAATTAACGAACATCACTTGTAAAATTAGTTGAAATGGTCTATAATGTATAAAATATACATTTTCATTTCGCTTCTACTAAATAACGAGAAAAATAAGCCGTAATTTGGTGAGAAAAATTCCTTGTTCCACAGCCCAGAGAATGGAAACTCAACGACAAAGTAAGGGAGCTATGGTTTATCTGTTTATGGAGTTGACTTTCAACCAATAGATCATGAATTCGAACACTGCTTCACTCATGGAGGTTTGGGCAGCCGTGAAGTGTTATCAACCCATACACAATAAGTGTGGCTGATTGCCTACTGTACGAGTATGCAGAACGTTGCTGATTGTATTTCGACTTCCAAAACACATCATGGATTTGCCTGTTAGCTAAAACCTATTACCAGACAGATCGCTGATATGAATGTACATTTTAAAATTTAATTAGTATACTTATGATCTAAACTATGTGTATCTGTTATAAAAAAATTTAGTTATTATAAAATATATTTACAGTAAGTGAATTCAAATAAATAATGTAACATGAAAATAAACATTAAAGATAGGCACATTTTACTGGTCACAAAAAATTCACCAGGAGATGAACTAATAGGAAGGCAGATAACAACTCAATAGATTTCTTAGTTTAGGAATATTTTCTAGCGATTCTCTGAGAATGATTGTGTACACTTTCGTTTACTAATAAAAAAAAACGGAATTCTGTAATCTGGTTGACTGATAATATTGGTACTGGATGATGATTGGAGGTGAAGTGAAAATTTGAGCCACGGAAGGATTCGAACCAGCGACCACCGGGTTTCTACCCCAGTCCTCTAACAACTGAGTTAACAGATCCGACTGCTGATCAAATTTTTATTCTACATCAATTACAAAGGGTTTTTCTCGACTGCCATGTGAATTTTTGACACATTACAATCGATTGGTCGCGCATGCATTGGCTCCCCAGTCAGGACTTCTCATCCCAAACTAAATGAATTAGAAAGGATCATCGTCACACAGACTATCAGTCTATGCTGTCACAGCCCAAATTTTCATTTTGCCTTCAATCATCATCCAGTATTAATATTAGTCTGGAAAACCATGGCTGTCACAGATAATCAAACAAATAATGTTGTAGAAAAAATTTAGTATAAGCAATTACCCGTGGGAAGAGCATCTGCAATGAAACTGACTAGAAATAGAGCAATCGATATGCCCAATAAACATAATTATTCGTGATGAATAATGTTGAAACCATCCATTGGGTTTAAAGTGGACAGTTTTAACTGACATGATACATGAACCGGTACTCTGATTACTGTTATACTCCAGTGAGACTAGTGCAAAACTACTGGATACTAAAATCAAGTAGGAAAAAGAGGGTATCGTGAGGAAGAAAACCTGATTAGGATACTATCGATGAAATAAGCGACTTATCTGGTTTCAAATCCTTCTATTCAATAAGTTATACAGAAATAAT